GGAGACGGGTACTTTTGACGTTATACTCAAGACCCAAACTCATGCTGCAGGCGGGTGAGAAGTTATCACCAACTTTCTACTTGGAGGTGTCGTCAAAGGAAGCGGGGTCAGTCCGACATTTGAACAGGGGTCCGGGGTAAATTAAGAAGGGGGCTGGGGGTTTCAAGCAGCGTTCTCATCGACGATCGAGCACGCAACCAATGATGTGCCTCTGGGTTTCAGCCTGAATGAGAAGCGTCCTTTCTCGGCGCTGTCAAACCACTGTAGCTCTCTGCATGTGTGCGACCCTCTCATGTGGGCGGTATATGTGTGACATGCGGGCAATGCCATAGAGAGCATGGCTAGTTACACATGTAACTCTATCGCTCCCCAAGAGCATCAGGTCCTTCGGCAGATGGAGATGGAGAGGGTAAAGATCTGCAAGACAAGAACTTGAAGCGATGCGGCTACGGTACTGTATGAGTACGATATTGGACGTTATCCATTTGGCCGCAGACGCATCCAGCCGTCTGTCGGCAGTGAGGATTGGAACGGGTCGTAACGTTAACCATCAACGGCGTTACACTCTTGGAATGCTGGGCTGTGTCATTGAGATCATCCCTGTGGAGCAAGAAGGTAAGATAAGTGTATCCTATCTTAACACTAATACAACAAGTCGGACTCAAAGTCCTCAAGTCCGTCAAGTCCCCTTGTGTTCTCTTACACAGTGCCCTGCCATGTGCTGTTTTCCTCGCAAGTCAGCATCAAGCTCCACATGGTTGAGTCTCGGAATCATCCAGGTACCGGGCCAAGTGGCTCGGCTGCCCGGCACCCCTCGGCATTGCTAAGGTAGGCTGGCCGGACACCGAGTGGCACGGGGTACTAGTAGTGTAGTCCATACCTGATAAGCCCAACCCCGCTGCCAAACGATACCGGTCTGTGGCACCCGAGACGGTGTAAGGGGCACATCCGAAAAGTTGACACTACTGACCCCCGGCCGGACTGGGGGAGTGACACCAAAGCAGCCATAGTTAGTACTAACCATCCCGAGATCGTACACTGTGTACTGTCAGACATACTCCGTACACTACGCTACTTTAGTATGCACCTACACTGCAGGGTCTAAACGTGATGGCTTCTAATTATCGCAGAAGCGAGCTTACACAACTTGACGCCAGGCCGCGCCAAAAACGTGCTGCGTTTGTCCTTGTTAGGGTCCGAATGTACGACGTAGGGTAGCACTTACAGAATGTGATGGCCACATGGTGCAATGATTACTGACTTACAATATTGTTACCCCTCTCTCGCTTCTACATACACGATAGGTAGGTAGGTAGGTAGATTGTAAGTCTAGCCCTGAACCTTATCTCCACTGCTGATGGTTACTCCCGTGATATCACTAAGGTAAGGTGCTGTAGCAGATAGTAGTACTGCCGGCAATGGTATGTAGCCCTATAAGTGACCAAGCAGCCAGGGCGGCGAAGGGATAGGTATGCCCCATGCAGGGAATGCTGTCTTCGTGCATGCGTGAAAGGTGTTTGTTTCTCGCTTGGTCTTTCCTTCATAGCTTGCTTGTTCTGACTTTCAGCCTGCTGACTACCTAGGTATGTACTTTACCTAGGTACCTAGGGGTTGGTGATGTGCTTGGTGACGATGTTGATGTACTGTGTAACCCCGGGTCAACCTTCACGATCTGACGGCGCGGGGGTTTGGATATCACACGAACTGACATGGAGCAGACAGTCAGCCGTCGGGGATAATGATGCGTAATTCATCCAACACCAAGGCCGCCCTGAACAAGGTCAAACGGAATCCGGATATCGCCTACGGCATGCTTTCCTACTGGTTAGATAGGCGGAGTCAACAGCAAGGTATGGACTGGCCTGTCGCTAACCCGACTGGAGATGGGAAAGTCTTTGGGGACATAGAATGGGCGGTGTAATTAGTCCCGAGTCATTTCGGAGCTGGCTCCGTTCACACTAAAAACTCTACAATCCACACACGTGTGATGGCTGGCTTTGAGGCGTCCATAGTGTAGATGTAAATACGCCACCGGCGTCCAGCCCGGTGGGGATGTCTCAACTCGCTTGCGGTGAAGGACCGAATTTCCCTTGTGGCGTTTCTAGAAAGCCATCAAAACGCCATCACGAGCTGCTTTCCTGATGCGGAACGGACGACACCTCATCCCAGTTTCGAGACTGGAGTCTGGGGTTGGATGGCTGGGACGACATCCCGCATGTTTACATTCACGGGGGCTGTGGCTATGAAGTGAATAACAGGTATGAACCATGAGACTGGGAAAGCCAGAGTTGGCGGATTTTGCCGACCTCCGTGACGGTGACTGACCGATGGCGGGACCGATTGTATCATGTCGTTAATGGGGGGGCCATCACGGAAGGAGCGTTAGTCTTGGTGGTTCGAGCTGTGTACTTGAGTCGTTGGCAGGAAGTTCACGTTGTGGTTGCCATCAAATGAGGCAACTTGAATCATAATCATGGAATGCTAGCAGTGTGTACTACTAGTAGATATGGTACTGACGAGGCAATTGAGCATCTAAATGCGAGAAGGCACTGTGTGTGGTAATTTTTGTTGATAATATTCCTGTCTGTCCCTACTGGATGGTCAACTCCGTAGGTGGACTCTACGGTTGCGCTGGTTCTAGTAGAAGTGCAGAGTGATCAGGACTTTAGATGTAGCTTAGCTTTGCAGCATTGATGTTGGCCGTTAAAACTGAGTCCACTTGGGGTCAAAAAGAGGGTGATAGCTCAGATCATAAATGGTAGCGACCTGGCATGTGAAAGGTCTGTATAATAGCTGTGGTAACAGTTCTTGAGTGCCAGTAGCAGTTGAACATCCATAAACAATACTTGATACTTGGAACTTGAACAAGGACGGCAGTCAACCCAGCGAGAAAGCCTAGGTACCTATGTTCAGTACGAGGTAGGGTCGTGGACGTACATCGAGAACGAGAAATTTTGTCAGGCCAAGCAACTGAGGCTTGATGCTTTTATTGCTAGCCTGAGCACGCAGGAATGACCAGGTATAGTACAAGATATTTGTTCCGCTTCCTTTGGCATGATATTATATCCGGGGCTGCCTGCAGCTACTAAGTAGTAGTATCCTCGATTCTAGTCGAGATACTCAACCTAGACGCAGAATCAACATGTGACCGCTGAAGGAGAATAGAAACTGGATGCTTACCTCTGGACATCATGAGAGTTATACAAGACTCGGGGCTTTCTTTTCCATTAACCATCAAACGTGGGTGGATCATACCAAAGCTATGCTCCAGTATGATCACTGTAAAGGCTAGTGGTATGATTATAGTTGTCCGGTGACACACAGAGCAATATGCACCTACCTAAGGTAGTCTGAGCCGCTGCCACGAGCCTACACTACCGAAGTTCATGTTGTTTGTTGAGAAAGAATTTACTTGGTTGGGGCTCTATAGCCCAGGTAGTATTGTAATGATACCAATATCAACAGTGATAGCGACTTGAAGGTAAACGAGTACATACATCTTCGTGACCTAGTCGTATGCCTATAAGATGGAGGCCTCAACTCCCACAGGTTGTTTGCATTTCAGCCAAATCCCTACTGGGGGAAGCCCACAGTAGGTTTTTACTCCTACAAGAGGGCATAGAACCCTTACACACGCTGTCATGTCCTAGTTGCAACTTGATTCGGTTGTTGATATGATTCAGGGGTATCCGGTCCGTTGCTCACTGGCCTGTTTTGACCTAGCCGCAAGCAGTGACTACTAGGTACTCTTCGTTTTATTTTTGAATACATTAAGTGTTACAGCTCATTGTCGACAAGATGATTACCTACCTTAGACTGGTTCCTGTCTGTAGCAAGTTGAGGTCAGCATCATGAAGCTAGCAGTCAGCGTTCAGAATCAACGCAAAGGTGGGAAGAATCCGTGAGGATGGCAACAGAAACTCCTGCATTCACTGCCTCTGCAACGTAGGGACTTGGAAGGTTAGGCACTCAGTCTACTGCATACCGTCTAAATTCTTGTACAGTTGCAATACTGAGATGAGATAAGGTGTTCGACGAAAGACTGCCCTTTAAACCGAATCATCGTGGTTGGACCCAGTGGTGAGTATTGAAGACTATTACAATGTTGTCGCACCTTGGCTTCCCACCTGATACCTAATCCAATTTAGCTGCGTGCTCCTCTTACTCTAGTAGCATCCATGGATTCTCAGCATTGTCCTGAACAACGGTTACACCAGCCATTGCAGTCAAGATCGGTCTCTGTACCTACTCATGTTGAGAAGATGCTTGGAGTACTGCCATCACTTCAAGTTGGATTCGATCATCCATGTCCTGGGCGAGACGCGGTTTATATAGGAGTACTATAACAAACGTGCCTCTAGCCTTGGGAACCGGTTTATAATTCGCTTGATAAGCCTAATCGGAGACCTCGCATTCAACATAGGGAGAATGCGCTGAATATCCACTCGGCCACAGGACCGAAATCCTGTGGTGTGTCTAACTTGCTGTACCTTCCGCAAAACGATGACTATATACCCTAATGTCCCGAGCCCCATCGCCGTCGAAATCAATGGTATTACTAACAACATATAACCTACTGATTTCACACCGAGTTACAAGTCGCTTTCCCACACAAAACACCGTCCCTTATGAGAACTATCTCAAGCAGGTAGTCGGGATGTTGACTTGAGTTTCTGCTGAACGGGTTGCAGCCAGGGATGGAGAAGGCAGTGTAGTATGTGATACACACCTTTGACAGCTGACAACTGGAGACTCTAAAGAACGAGCCATAGTCTCAGTATCTTATGAGTTCCACGAGCAACCGAGTCTTGCACAGAATGATGTGTGAGAAAAGGGTGACCTTGGCTCAGGGGCAAGAGAAGGGTTAGGGTTACATGATGCGGTTCGTTTGCGCTCTAAAACCATGCTCAGGCATCTGGGCAGTCATCGCTGCCCCGCCAAACAACACCACCAAAAACAACAACTGGCAGCAATACAGAGTTCTACAAGACGGAATCAAAATGCTCAGCCGTCGCATGGTAACTGCTATAATAACTACACTTCCCTGATATTCGATCAACTTGTGCGCTGACGGATGGCTTGTCCAGTTGACCAAGGAGGAAGAGGATGCCGTGGGAGACGAAGTCGAGGTCCGCCGCGAGGACCAGGACAAGATCAACAAGTTCAGCCGTCTGCACCAGCACGAGCTCACAATACAGGAGGAGCTGAAGGCGAAGAATGTGAGCAGCTGCCAACAGATGCAAGTGCAAATTGGGGGACTACGAGAGGGTTCTAACTTCCCCCGCCTATCCAGAAAGAGAAGGAAGAGCTCGATGACATAACAACCGAGCTGGAGCTCGCCGACGAGGAGGATGTCGTCCCGTGAGTGCGCCTTCACATGTGCGACTGTCCAGAGAGCACACGCTCATTTACCGTCAGCTACAAAATCGGAGACGCCTTTTTCCATCTGCAGCTCCCGCAGGCCCAGGAACTGCTCGGCGCCTCGACCGCCAAGGTAGAAGAGGAGATCGAGGAACTCGAAAACAAGCTAGGCAGCATACGCGAGGAGATGACACAGCTGAAAGTCGAGCTATATGCGAGGTTTGGGCGGACTATTAATCTGGAGACATGATGGTAGAAATGGGCTCGTCTTTTCCCATTGGATCCATTTGGCTGGCATGTGAAGAGCTTGCTTCTCCCAGGCTGCATCCCACATCTTTTTCTCGGATAAGGGCATTGCAAAGTGGACGCTGATGATACCCATCTTCTGTAAGCTCTTTTTCTTGACATGGGAGTGACGGAAGATGGGCGGTGCTAATGCATTTCCCAGCCCAAGCCGCATGCTAGCCGAGGAACTTGGTTGCAAACCCCTGGCCCCTCGCCGCCTAACCGACAGCATGCTAACGGGGCGATGTGATTGACGTTGACATCATCCTGTCGCCAGTACACAACAACGGCCGCACCAAGCGACTCCAGACGCTTGACTTGGCTGTGCTGAACAAGGTACTGAGACCGAACCTTGCATGTACATAATCCTGTTGCCCCCTCGCGCCGGCGCCGCTCACTACACCCCGTATAGGTAGCCTTAGCATGAGTATGAACCGCATCAAACAAAGACCCAGCCGTGCTCTAGCCAGGAAGGTACAGTGCGATGTGATCGCATCCTTGAGCTTAACCCTGCATATCCCCCCGGATGGTTTGCGGTCCGTCATCCGAGTGCGGGTCTTGGAGTCGAAAGTTTGACGGCTCATGGAACGGAGGTCAAAGGCTGTCACACGAGACAGACGCGGCGTGCCTAAGCGTTGAACGGGGAGGATAGAATCAGAAGCGGTGCTTCTGTGTAAAGGGGCCAACCACTTCCGAAAGCCATTTTCCTGAATGGAATCATCTCATCTCGCTGGAAATGACTCCTGTTCCATCAACATGACATCTTTCGGAAACTCACGGCTGCTTGTCGCAACAGGTCCAAAGTATATGCACTCCGAGACGGGGGGGAAATCTCAATCCCAAGGATAGCAGCGTCCCATGTATGAGATGCAGGTATCTGGTTCCCAGAATTGACACGTGTGAATCAGGCTGCTTCCCTCGTTTTGAGCCTCACCAGGCTGCTGATGGCAGACAATCTTGCCTCTTCACATGTCTCCTCGCAACCAGACAGGCGCTGTCCCTACATGAGCAGGCGCATGGTGGATATAACATCAAAGCTCACCAACCAGGATCCGAGGCCCCCGGGGCTAGGCCAAACGATGCGTCTGGCTCTCCCAATATCAAGCCCCTGGCCGACGCCAGCTGATCGGGGCTCATGACGATGGACGAGTCTCGGACCCATGACTACGGGGATCCTAATCAGCCGTGTTACAAGTCCCCTGAGAGCAGCAGCAGCTACAGCATCCGAACCGAGGACTCGATGCGGCAGACCGAGGGCGACTTGGAGCCGGCAGAGCTCGCGGGGCACGAGAAAGACACCCTCAGGGCCGCCAGGAGAGAGGCGCTCCAACCAACGCGACGGGCCTTTTCGTTTGATGGCGGCCAGGTGCGCGATGAATACTTCTTCTCCGAGCCCAGACCGTACCACGAGCCCGAGGAGTCCATCCGCCGAGCATGCTCCTTCGAGTATGGCCTGTCCCGACCAGCGAGCGTCCTGCGCTTGACGGCCGGCGGGGAGCCCGAGGAATCCTACCGGCGAGCGTGTTCGTTCGAGACGGGCCGCACAGGACTCACGGGATTTACGGGCCTCTCCCGGCCGGCAAGCGTCATGCGCTTGATTGCCAAGGACTCCAGAGCCGACTCCCCCCTGCCGCAGCTGGTCAGCAAGCCCTCCGAATGCTGGCAGGAATACGGCTTCCCTCGTAAGCTTGCACTCCTATCAACCTTCAACCCCACCACACCCAGTTAACACCACAAAAAAACAAAAAGGCTGCCCGGTCTGTTTCAGCGTGCTAGTCACCGAATTCGACCAGCACGACGCCTTTGTCCGGTATCGGGAGCTGGTCGCCCGGAAGCCGGCCCCGTCGTACCACACCTTGATCAACTCGCCCAGCCCCATCCCGGGAGGAGGCGGGGGAGAGGAGCTGCTGGTCGCCTGGGAAGATGATCACGACCCGGAGAACCCGTACAACTGGTCCGGGCGCAAAAAGGCCGGCATTCTCCTGACCATCATGATGCTCATCATCAACTCAACCATGGGCAGCGCGCTGCCGAGTAATGCGTTGCCGTTTATTGCGAGGGAGTGGAATGTCACGTCCCAGACGCAACGGGTGCTGCCGATTTCAATTTATTTGATTGGATACGTCATGGGTGAGTAGACCTCTGTCCCTCAATTAGGGGCTGGCTCGTTCAGATGAGAAAAGGGTGGAAGTTTAGCTAATGCTGAAAAAACCAGGGCCTATCCTCTGGGGACCCCTGAGCGAGCAGTTCGGGCGAAAAGTGCTCACGCTCTGCACCTTTTTCATGTTCACCCTGTGTACGCTGGCCTGCGCACTGGCGCCGACCTGGGCGGGGTTTCTCGTCTTCCGGCTCTTGACGGGCGTCTTTGCCAGCTCGCCCATTGCCGTCGTGCCGGGCATCATTGCCGACACGTTTAGCGACCCGCGAGTCAGGGGGAGGAACATGGGGTTATTTTTCATGGCAAGCCCCCCTCTTCCCTCCTTATTCGCTTCTCCTGTCGATGCCATTTTGAGCTGGAGGCTAACACGTTGTGCAACAACAGTTTACCGTCTCCGGCCCTCTCCTCGCGCCCATTATATCCGGGTACACCTCGCCCACCATCGGCTGGCGGTGGGCCTTCTGGATCGGCCTGATCTACGCCGGCGCAACCCTAATCCCACTCGTCTTCCTCCCCGAAACCTACGGCCCCGTCCTCCTCAAACGCCGGGCCCAAGCAATCCGCCGGCGTGACCCCCGAGTACGGGCCGTAGCACCCCACGAACTGGACAAAAAATCCCTCTCCGAACTCGCCACTGTCGTCCTGACTCGCCCGCTGCGTATGCTCGCTTGCGAACCCATCGTCAACACGTCCTGCGCCTACCTAGCCCTCTGCTACGCCATCTTTTACATGTCATTCGAAGCCTTCCCGGTCATTTTCGAGGGGGTGTATGGCTTTGCGCCGGGGCCTTGCGGGTTAACCTATCTAGCTGTGGGCGTCGGCTGCCTGCTGGCGCTGCCCATCTTTTTCGCGTACGACACCATCCTGCGCGACGCGCAGCGCCGCCGCGCGCCCTGGACCCGTCGTGAAGAGTCCCGGCGCTTGCCGCTCGCTTGTATCGGCGGTCCGCTGTTTGCGCTGTCGCTGTTCTGGCTGGGCTGGACGGCGAGAAAGGACACGCACTGGGCGGTCCCGATGCTCGCGGGGATTCCGTTTGGGATTGGGTTCATGTGCATCTTTCAGGCGCTGCTGTACGTCCCCTATTCCCCACCCCTCCTTTTGTCTCACCAACCCACCTCTAAGCATTTCTATCATCAGAAACTACCTAACAGACGCCTACTCAATCTACGCCGCCTCAGCCAACGCGGCCGCGTCCTGCAGCCGCTCGCTGCTGGCCTGTCTGCTGCCCTTCGCGGCGCTGCCCATGTTTGACAAGCTGGGCATCAGTGGCGCGCTGTCGCTGCTGGGGGGGATCAGCACGCTCATGTGTGTGATTCCCTTCCTGTTTCTGTGGCGCGGCGAGCGTATCCGCCGCGCAAGCAAGTTCTGCCGGCTCATTCGTGAGCGCACGAAAGAGATGCAGCGGCGGGTTGACGAGCAGAGAAGGAGGAGCGCCGCTGCGTCGGCTGCTGCGTCTACTGCGGCTCTTGGTGGTACTGCTGGTGGTGGCGGTGGCGGTGGTGGGTATGCTAGTGGAAGTAGTGCGGGTGTGGGGAGGGTGATGAGGGTTGCTGCTACGAACCATGCTTCTGCTGCTGCTGCTGGGGGAGTACGGGAGAGCAGGGCTAGTACCCTCAAGGTTGGGCTTGTGGGGGTTTCGGATGGGAAGGAGGGTTAACTAGGATTGAACTGGGCGGTTGTATGAGATTGGATGGAGGGAATATCTCTCCAGAACGCCTTGGAGGAGAGGTTGATGCTGTTTTCTAGACCATGTCGTTCCTTCTTTCCTTCCTTTGTTTCGTTCTTCCGGTGCGTCCGGGGAACTATCATACCTAAGCACACACCTGTGGCTTGTAGCCTCCCGTTCCTTGGTGAAGTTCAACCCCAAGTGATATGAATATCCCAATCCAAAACACACCGCTAGTTGATGCCATTCCCCGTTCCTCCTCCAGCTGATGCATGTAATTAATCAAATGCCCAACAAACCAGTCACGATCCCCCGTTCGAGTATTGATTGGTTCATTTACGGGGGCTTGTTGTCACAGCAACCGTCAGGGTTAGGGTCCGACCGCGGTGCGGGGCTGAGGATCGCTACCAGCGTTGCCCAACGTCATCGGCCGCTGGTGCCCGTTTCCATTTGCATGTCGCGCCCTCTCATGAACCCCGCCCAGTGCAACCATGTCGTCACAGCAGCGGTCGGCGTCGGTCGCCGGCGGGCGGGAAAAGACGTACTTTGAGCAGCAGCGGGAAGAGCTCATAGGGGAAATTGCCATGGTAAGTGAGTGACATTGAGGGACCGAGTCTGGATGCCTGCAAGAATAGGGAAAAAATGCAGTTGCATTAGTGCTGACAGTCGCCTTCAACCCCCTGAAACAGAGCTTTGAGCATGTCCTGGCCAACATCAACAAACTGAACCGCTCGCTCGAGGCCGTTATTGCTGTATGTATACCCCTCTTCAGGGCCCTATTCTGGTGTATATGTCAGGGTCTAACAGAACGCTAGGTGGGCAACGAATTCTCCTCGGTTGAAGCGCTGTGGTCGCAGTTTGAGAATGTCATGGCCAAGGATCCCGAAGAGGACAAGGCCAAATCCGAGGAGCAAACTGAGGGCCAGGATGCGGCAGACCAGTCCAAGCAAGAATGAACAATGATGGACAAGAAGACGAACTTGGTTCCGGATGGCAGAGTGCGATACTGTAAACGGACTCCCGGTGGGCGGAATAGAAGACTGGGAGGGCACATTGATACCTCTACTCCATGATACCCAACAATACACAGAGGCTCCAATGAGCCCGTCACGTATTCTACAAGGCACAGAACAGTGTTTTAAATCGTGTTTCCTCGTTATGTTCCCTACCCCTATTCCTAACACTCACACAAGAAGAGAATATCATTTGTTACAAGACCATAATCTTCCCGCAAAACAGCATTAGGCCCTCCAGAAGCAACAGGTAAACCCGCAGCGCGCTTCAAGAGACCACTATCCTCAACCGTCCCGTAACACTTGCCCTTTCGTGACAACAAGGGCTTGCTCCGTCCCATCCCATCCCTCCGTGCATCCCTTGGGGTATCACATCCCTTCTAAAACCCTATAGCAGTGTTCCGCGAAGAGAAGGTGTACTCCAACAAACATTGAGTTCCCATCCGTCCAAACATAGCCAACCTTGATCGGCCTAGACCCATGGGTCGTGTCCCTCCTAGGAAGGGACCAAGAAGAAACAAGAAAATAAAAGGAAAGAAGCTGCAGAAGTCGCCCGCTCAGAGTGGCCTGCTCGCCTTGCCACGACAGGAATAAGACAGAAAGTATGTAGAGAAGAGAGAAAAAATATAAGAGAAAGAGAACCAGACAACAACAACAGGCAACGCAGGTCGTGTCAAATCATGCAGTTAGTAGCGTCATTACCCCATCCCTCATCACCACCACCATCAACTCCATCTCTTCCCCCCTATCCCAACCAACCCCCTTCTGGCCTCAGACAAGGTTGCACTTTCTCTTCTTCTTCTTAACAACAATCGGAATCGGCGTCCCGTCACTGCCAAACGTCACACCCCCACCGTGACCATTGACAGCAAGAACACTCCCTCTCCTGCCAACACCACCACCACCTCCCGCGGAGGATGCTGCGGCCAAGGCCTCCATCTCGAGCGTTTTCCGGTCGTTGGCGACAACGGTCAAAATGGCGCGCTCAAAAATCTCCTCAACGCCCTTCATCTCTTTCGAGCTGCACTCCATGTACTGCGCGCCCATCTTGTTGGCCACGGCCAGCCCTTGCTCCGTCGTCACGGGCGTGAGCCCCTGCGCTTTCAGCATGTCGATGCATGTTTTCTTGTAGCGCAGGTCTGATTTTAGGCCGACGAGGATGAGTGGGGTGTAGGGGCAGAAGTGCAGGACTTCGGGGTACCACTGTTTAGGCAGATTGTTAGTTTTGGGTTGTACATAGCGGTGGTGGGATGGTGAGATGGGGGGACAGTGACTAACCTTGTCCATGACATTCTCGAGCGAGTTGGGGCAGTCAATGGCAAAACACACAAAGATCAGGTCGGTTTCCGGGTACGACAGCGGCCGCAAGCGGTCGTACTCCTCCTGTCCGGCGGTGTCCCAGAGAGCGAGCTCCACCGTCTTACCGGTGGGAGGGTGTGTGGGGTACGTGATGTAATTCTCAAAGACGGTTGGGACGTATTTCTGGGGAGGGGTCGTACGGGTTAGCTTTGCGAAACACTCCTAAGAGTCCAGGATGGAATGGGCGGGCGATGCTTTCAATCTTGCCTCTCCACGCCGATATTTGATCCCAAGGTTGATTGATCAGGCAGACGTACCTCTGGAAAGTAGCCTTGGCTGTAGCTGATCAAGAGACAGGTCTTGCCGCAGCCGCCGTCGCCGACAACGACAATCTTCTTGGAGTAGGCCGGGCCCTCGGTCATGGCAGTCGCTGACGATTCCCGGCCCGTCGAGCTGCTCATCATTGTGCTCACTGTCCCGTCGCTCGACCTCGTCCCGCGCGTGTCTCGCCTGGACGAAACCGGCCGTCGCGACGATGATGTGCTATCATGCCTCTCGTGCAGACCGTAGGTTGAATTGCGATACTGGTACGACGCCATGGTGTGTGTGTGTGTGTGTGTGTGTGTGTGTGTGTGTGTGTGTGTGTTTGTGTGCGTGCGTGGGTTGTGTGTGTGTGTGTGATAATCAGTGTGACTGATTGTTGGATGGCAAGCCACTTGATGGCTGAGGCGCCGTTGGGCAAAAAAGCAAAAACACAACCGGGCGTTGACACAACACTGGACTGAACGACGTTTCTTCTCCCCGCCCCGCTCCGTCAGATGATGATGTGTCGAGTACGAATATGTTCTTGTCTCGAGTCAATTCGGTGCGTGGTGATGGAAGAATGGATGCAAGTTGTGATGCAAGGGACTCGAGGCTTTTTTGGGACCTTTCGAGCGATGCGCTGGCTGGCTTTGGTCGAGGCATCCTGTGGATGTTGAGGAGCGGGCGGCTGCACCTGCAGCATGTAAACAGTCGGCTGGGCAACGGTTCCTGCGGGCGATGGGCCGATGACACAACCGCGGGGCTAAAATTGGCAGGAGCCCCACCAGAACATGTACGCAGCGGTCTCGGCCACTGCTTCCAGGGCACTGTAACTATCATATTCAGAAATACAGCTGTATAATACAGGGCAGTTTTCAGAGTGCTTGGGCACGACGATGGCTTCAGTTCGATCTTTACTTTTTGTTTAGAATCTCTGGCCCTTTGGGAAGATGTTGAATTTCCTCTTTCTCAATCTTGGATGTCTTCATTAAGCTCAGTACAGCCGCTGGTCAACGCCAGCCCTATGTAAGTTTCACAAACAGGTCTTGTATCCTTTGAATCTCCACAGTGGAGGTTTCAGCTGCCTTGGTTCTAAGGCGCTTGTTCGTTTCCGGCATTTTCATTTCCAGTTTTTCTCTCTCTCTCTGGTTGTTTTGTTTGGCCATTTTTACTCGGATTTTTTAGTCGCTTGAATGGTTTCCGGTTTCTGGCAACGATTCAACTGGACATCTCCAAGTTTGAAACCGAAAAGTCGTCAACGCTGCCATCGGTATCCCTGCGGCAGTTAACGACGGGACCTGTTTGCACAGCGGGACAACCGAAACTGCAAAGTTTTCCCGTGGGGATCTCACTCACCAACCTCTCCTTTCACCACAACACAGGAGAACCAAGATGGCTCTTGCCGAGGACACTCCCAGCAAGTACGTCACCCTCGTCTCTGGCGACGGGCTGGAGTTTGTCGTCCTCCGCGAGGCCACGCTTGTCAGTCCAACCATCAAGGGCATGCTGCGAGGCCCCTTCACCGAGGCGAAGACAGGCCGATGCACCTTTCCTGAGATAAGGTATGATGACCTAATCCTCTCCCCGTCACTCTGCTCTACCATCGCATATCCCACCCAAACCACGATGATGAGACAGACACATGAATCGCTGCGTTCTTTGCGACAGACCGCTTCCGCCGTTCCCCCCTCCCTCTTCTCCCAAGAAAGAAGGACAGGAACCGGAAAGCCTGGGCTGCATGAGCGTCATCTACACTTGATCTGAGCCAGCAGAAATTCTGCAAGCCCGACCTCACCAAGGGAGTTCATAAACTGGAGATAACTAACCCGGTGTTTCTTACCATATGCATTGCAGTGGTGAGGTTCTCGAAAAGATTGTCGAGTACTTCCACTACTGGTACCGCAACCGCGACAAGGAGGACGTACCTGACATGGAGATACCCGTCGAGATGTGCCTCGAGCTGCTGCAGGCGGCCGACTACTTCAACCTGATGCCCAGCCGGCAGGAAGGGCGGGAGGCGGCTTAGGGGAGCAGCCCGTCACTCTCTTTCGATCATCATCGCATACCCGCTTCTTTTGATTGTCGTTATTTCGGAGTGGGAAACGGCGTTAGGGTGCATAAAATCTAGATGGTTGGGACGGCGTTACTGGGAGACCGAATTGTCGGTTGAAGGTTCATGAACGGCACTGGGTGCGCATTTTCTACGAGGCGTTACGAAGGAACGGCTCAAAGGATGCATCGGATCTGGAATTCTGCGACGAACGGAGTTGCTTCTAGGGCGATACCATAGGAAACGGTCTGTTGTTTCTACGCCTCATCTGAAGCACCAGCTTGGTCAGTATGATGGACATGAGACGCTTCGTCGGACGACCTTTGGAGACCAAAGCCAGCGTCTTCGGCGTATGTGTACTTGTTCTCTCCCTACCTAACCCCTGAACCGTGATGTCTCACCTACAGGTACATGACAATGCCAGTCCCTTGGAAACCCATCTTAGCATATGCGTCCAGCCCTATTTCCCCAATGGGTACGACGTCTAAAACAGATGGAAGATAAACCCTTAGTCCTCCGCGATCTGCCTGGCTCATTCACAATCCATTGGGTTCTCGCTTTATTGGAGAGGAAACATGTCAACAGCAAGCAACCAAGCATCATCTAGCCGACCATAAAGTCATAAACTCCGTGAATAGACGATGATGCCTATATTACTCCAAAGGGCTCAGATCCGGCCCGTATCGCTTCATTGGCTACCTTGTCGAGTTTGTAGTGACCAAGTTTCGCTTTCTTTCTCGGGATACGAGAAGCTGAGCAATTCCCAGTAGTCCACCCCGTGCAGGAGCAGAGCCGATGATTGACAGTTACCCACTCATATATTCCCAGCCATCATTTCCTCCAGTTGCTCCGGTTGTCAACCGCTTTGGCCTCCCTTTCCACCTCCTTGACCAGATCCGAGGACCTTGTATACCATTTCATTAGTATGCCTCGGGTTCATCACTTCCATCCGCCAATCAGCCTCATCCATTCTGTCCGCAAGGTCGGAAAGCTGGATGGAAGCCATGATTAGGTCGAAAACGTCATGTCGGTCTTGCTTCCAGTCTCTCCACTCCTGTGAATCCTTGTTCTTCGGCTCTTTCGCCGGAGCCTCGGCGCCAACATGGATGTCGTAAAGTGGGCCGAGCGAAGCTCTCAGGCACATGTCCCAATGCTCAAAATCCCCTCCCGTCTCGAGTCGGGGTAGGGCGACGTAAGCCCTCGTCCTCCTGGTCTTTCCTACACACCAGCAGACAAAATCGTACACATGTCTGCTGTATTCCTCGCTTGTCAGGCTGGTGAGGAGGTCTGCCACGCAGTTGTTGTTGCCAACATTCTCGTTGTCCGCCATCTTGTTATCGTCTTGTTGTTGTACTATATAGAAACCCTAAACCTCTGCAGGCAAGGAATTCCTGTTGTCGTATTGCAACACTTCTCAATGCCGGATTCTGGACCTTGGCTAGGTTGTAGGATGGATTATGGCCGGCTTGAAGGATGGGAAGCGAAGCTGGAGGAGTTAGGATGGGCAACTTCCCGAATACTTATGACTGAAGAGATGATAGGAAGGAACTCACCGCGCAAGACGACTTGGACAGAGGACAAACGATTCACTGTCCGCCTAATCGTTTGAGCGATCACAGCCTGCTCAGGCAGTCAATGAAGATCTCTAGAGGATGTACAGGCAAGCGGCCGGCAGTTTCTGAGAATCAATGTGCCTTTGGTTGTTGTTGTTGGAAGAAAAGATGGCACCCCGCGTAAAAGGATATTAATACCTGGGCGTGGGGCAGAATCCTAAGGCGTGCCAGTGAAGGCCATTTGTCGATGTGATCAGGCGACCAACCCTTCACCACTCCCATACTCTAACAACCCTCTCTCCCATCAACCAGTAACCCACACCTGCACACAACCAGTCCCCATCAACACCATCCCATCTACTGCCCCTTCCCCTCCTTAAGTTTCCTCTCCCTCCTCAACCTCTCAACCACCAAATCAAACCTCTTGAACGCCATCGCCCCCTCGACAAACACACTCCCCATCCACACCCACCAGACGCGCGACCCCCTCCTAACCCCAAAGTTACTCAACCGACTACGCTCCAGCCACCAGGCCTCAGCAACATGAATACCCAACACCGGTAAAAAAATCGCCCGAACGAGCCACACAAACCCAGCCCGGCCGTAAGGAAAGGGACTCTTGTCAAGAACCTGCCCCAACACCGTGCCGGGGTTGAACCACCCTGCAAACACCAACCCCGCAAACGCAAAGTACTGCAGCACCAGCCCAAAGATGAGCGCGTCGTAGGGAAAGCGAGGGGGCATGTACTCGTTTACCACCACCACCACCACACCAGAACCGGATGATGATGATGATGATGATGATTCAACGGCAGCCCGGGCGCGCTGCGTCATTTCAACGAGACGGGTGCGCCGCTCCGCCCAGCTTGATAGTGGTGGGTTGAAGGGGATGGAATAGGAGTTGTGCTGCTGCCCAATAGTGCCGGGGAGGCGGACGGTGAAGGAGGCGAGGTTGATGTCGGTCATGATAGGGTCGTTGTCCTCCCCAGAGGAGGGAGGGTGGCCGGTGAGGAAGGACTGGCGATATGCTGCCGGGAGGGGTGGTACGCAAGGGTAGTGAAGCAGGATGAAGCGCATGTCCTCGCGGTGGTCCTTGTTCATGTGGGCCATTGTGCGGGCTTTTTGGTCTGGGGGGATGGGGTCCGGGTTGGCCATTCTGGCTGAACTAATTTGCTCTTGAAAGGGTTTTCGATTCTTCGCTCTCTTCTTTCCTTGTTGGAGTGATGCAGCGGATGCTCCAGGCTGTGAGTTGCGAGCTGTGAATTTCAGTGGAGAGGACGGGTGGACGTTTGGAATTGAATGCCAAGATTTGGGGTGGCTTGCAGGGCGACAGGGGTATCTAGCGAATTGATTGGGCAGGTGGGGCCTGGGTCGGGGACATTTTGGAGGTGCGGCCCGGTCCGCATGCCCCAGTGATCAGCGGTTCCACATCAATATCAACACTGAATGTCGTGAAAGATGCTCATTGTCACGATCTCAATAATCATAATATCATCAAAGTCATTACAAGCAAGGTTGTTGGCATATTGGATCTATAGAATGTTGCGAGTTACTGGTAGCCAATGGTGATTACTCCTTGGAGAGACTCAACTTGAGTGGAGGACTCAGACTGAGCGAGTGACCCTGACCTCGAACTCGAACATGACCACCACCACGAACCGCAAACCATTCACCTCTCGGCATACACCCTCACCTCCTTCCCCCTTGCACCTTCCCCAACCGCACCTGCCTCGCCCTCGCAGTATATATATATTACCTCCCGGCACGCCAATGTTCAACAATGAACCAGATGCCGTGGTTTACCACGGGGTCTGGCGAGTCCCAACCCTCATATTAAGGTCTTGAACTCAGACACCCCTCCTCGGGCTATGGGTTCGATTCCCATTTGTGGGGCATCCCCTCCGCGGAGCACATAGATACACCCTCTGCCTCCCGCAATGGGAGAACGGTGATCTCGCGTTCGTGCCGTCTAGGGAGAGCAAAGCTCAGCCACCCGACATGATTCCAGTTTCCAGTCTGGCTTGCGAGGGCGTTGGACCAACTGAGAACTCGTCCTGCGTCACGCCGTACAAAGCGAGGCCCACGAAGGAGGTTTAAATTTTTTTTTTTTTTTTTTTTTCGGTGTATTTTTTTCCATCATAGTTTTCCCATGCCTCCATTCCCAACCAAACCAGACAGATGTGCAGTATGTCATTAAGCTTCTACTTCAATCAGTTGATGCCATCCATTTTGAACCGCGACAAGTCACTTAATCGAGGACGCTGTGACGATGCTCAACACGCAGCTGTATTCAATTCCATCAAGCCGACTGAAGTCGAGTGAAGATCTGGGTATATAGTACACATTTCCCTACCCAACGCCAAATCCCGACCCTCCCCTCCATTTTCATCGCCACCATCTACCATCCTTATCCAACTGAACCCAAAATAATCACGGCATCATAGCATCCCAGTCAAACGTCCCACTTCCCCACAGCTCATTGAGATTCAATCCCAGCGTTTCCAAGCTGATATCTTGGTTCCATGGTATCTGGCACAAAACGGTCAGTCACATCACTCTCCGGAAGTCGATCGGCAGTCAAACCGAGCAAGAGGGAAAAGCGAGCAACTCACCTGCGGAATGGACGGATCCCCCCCGTTGGGAAGCCACCATGGCGTCCCGGGAACCTCGACCTGCGAAGCTGCGCCCTGCTGCGAGGACGAGGACGGCGGCGGCGCGAAGGGTGTAACCGACTGGTTTTGGGTTGAAGCAAGTCAGCGATCATGCTCACAAGACGGTATTCAGATCCACCATCAAACTAGAAACTCACCTTGGATCTCACAAACATCTCCGCCCCGGCTGCACCACCACCACTCACAGCAGACTGCATTCCAACTCCGTTCCCCACCGCCGCCGCGGGCATTCCCCTCCCCTGCTGCTGCTGCGTCTGCTGGTGGTGCTGGTCCACCCCTTGACCTCCCCCACAGCAGCCGGATCCAACTCCCACTCCAGCACCACCACCACCCACCACATTACCATTATTACTATTCGACCCCTGCGTACTCCCCGGCAGAGGCGGATCCTGCCCGGCCAACAATTTATAATGCAGCCCCACAAACCGTTCCGCACTCGCCGCCTTGGCAGCCTCCGGCGTTTTCGTCCCCAGATGCGCCTCCAACAACCCAAACGCCGCACACATGATACTATACCCCCACGGCTCGTTGTTCCCACACCTAAGAATCCTATCCTCCTTCATGGCCAGACACTTCTCCAGCAACTGCAGTGTATGCTGGGAGTTGATCATGATCATATTCGTCGACCCGCGCGGCTGGAGCATGGTGACAGAGGTCAAATTGATGGCGAGTGTGAGTGCGTCTTCGCGGAGGAAGTTGAGCGTGCGGATGCCCTGTTGGGCCAGCTGGTCGTGCAGCAAAACCATGTCGCGCGCGGCGTTGTAGTAGATGATTTCGGAGTATTGGTATTTGGAGTTGTCGCGGCGCAGGCGGAGGAAGGGTTGGTGCAGGGGGATGATGTATTGGCGGAGTTGGATGTGGAGGAGGGTGTAGGCTAGGAGGGGCTTTTTGATGGGTGTGGTGGGTGAGGAGGGGGAATGATGGTTGGGGTCTGATGATGATGATGATGATGAGGAGGAGGAGGAGGAGGAGTAGCTGACGTCCCATGACGGGAGGGAGTCGATCTCTTGGTTGATCTCGTTTGTGTACTGGATCACCCGGTCGTAGTCGAGCTCGCCGGGTGGGCCGGTCAGTACCCGGCTGAGCTCGAGGCGCAGCGCCAGGCTCTGGCGGCTGATGTGCTGGTAGGAAGAGAAGGTGTATTCGGAGGCCGGCCGGGAAGGCGGGAGTTCTTTGGTATCCTCGTCGAACTCGTCGTCGTCAATGTTGCGAGGCGGGTGGATGTCGTAGTGCAGCGAGCTGAGGATGGACGGGAGGCCGTGGTCGGCTGAAGCTTGCAGGTCGTAGCTCTGGATGGTGGTCCACAGCCGCCGCCGCATTTCTTGATTGAAGGGCGAGATCTTGCCCGCGCACATGTGGGTGGGCTCGCGGTGCAGGCCGACCGAAATGGCGTCCTGCGTCATGGCGCCTGCGTTCTTCCAGAAGCGCTTCTTCTTGACCGTGTTGACCCGCTTGGCCAGGTAGAGCAGACAGGCGATCTGGTAGTGGATCAGGCGGCGGTGCTTCTGGCTTTGACGCTCTTGCCACTGGTCGACGGCCTCGACCCATCGTATCGCGCTCGTGTGCGAGCTCGACACCATCTTCTCGAACTTGTGCGGCAGCTGAGCGCCCAGGCAGCTGGAGATGGCTATGATGACCAGCACAAGGGCGGTGAAGGCGGCGTTTCTTGTTTCCGAGGGCATCCAGAACTTGGAATAATCTCTACGGAAGCTGGGGATGTGAACAATGCGGTGAATCTGCTCGAATTGATCCAGATAGATGGACACAAGATTGTCCGTCTCTTCCTTGGAAGGGAGGAGTGATTCCAGAAAGAGGTCTGGCTGGTTGAACCTGCGCTCTCTTTCCTCGGCGTCCTTGCGGCGGTCCTTGGTCCTGGTCTGGATATGGAGCGGCCGCAGCCACTCGTCCGATGTCTCCTTCATGAAGGGGCACAATCCCGTGAGCTAGCCTCTGTTAGTACGATGATGAGATGCAAAAGCGGCAAGAATAGGGGCAGCACTATACCTCCTGAAAAGCCAAGAATGCGCTGTGCGGGCCAAAGTAGCGGGTCCTAAACTCCTTGCCGCGGAAAAAACGTAGTTCCTCCTTGTCGGTCTTGGTCACCTCATTCTGCAAGAACTGCGGCACCTCAATCTCATGCAAGCCATTAACCTCGGGGCCATCATGGGACTTTGGATCAGGGGGCGAACAATCCTGGGCCGTACTCCCATCCAACGATCCAGATCCAGATGCATGCTTCACAAGCAGGCTCTTGAGCTGGGCAACCTCGACCTCAAGACGGCGGATGCGGTCCGACTCGCGGACATGGTGATCCTTGCGGAAATAGGGGGATTCCCCACCAGTACTGGGCAGCGATAGATGGGCATCCAAACCGGCGAGGGCGGTGGGCGGCAGGCCGAGCTTGTTCGGGGGCGCCAAGCCGGGGCGCGTCTCGTACTCGCAGCGCTCCGGGGTGCCCGACTGCAGACAGCGCGAGCACGGGAACTCCCTGTCGCACGACAGCTTGCGGCGGCGGCACTCGAGACACGACAGCCTGACGCGCTGGCGCTTGCGAGGCGGCGGGCGGTCGTAGTCCCTGTCGTGGTCGTGGTCGTGCGAGTGTGACCGCGCGAGAGATTGCGACTGCGACTCGGTGCCCTCCTGCGGACTCTCACTGCGCTCGCTCGGCTCCGACATTGTGGTGCTGGGACTGGTGGCCGGGCATCGACGGAGTTATCGGACCGGCGGGGCTGACAAAGGAGGTGTGCCACCTTGACTTTTTTCTTGGTTTTTTTTCTAAAAAATGGACAGATTGATGGAAGTCTTCTCATGGATGAGAGCCAAGCGGAGCTGGGTGTGGATTTTTATCAATCGATCTGATAAGATCCAGGCATCCAAGACCAGTCCATCCACCTTTGCCCATCGGCAATAATTCCGATTCAACGTCAACTCTTCAATAATCCCGTATTCCCCAGCTTTTGACGAATACATGGAGCTTGACAATATGGGAATAACAGGGAATGCGTCATGACTCATAGTCTTCAGGCTGTCATCTCTGCTTTTCCTCGCTTCCTTCAACTCCAACGGTGTGTTGGCCGTGAAGGATTTTGTTTGTCAGAGGTTTGGTTCGGAGTTCCGAGCAAATTGCCGAGATGCCTTTTCTGGAACCCCTGGACTCACCTTACTGTGATAATACTGTCCCCCATGCTTGGCCGTGCTTACCCTAACTCAAGTGGTAAATCCGAGCTTTGCCGAGCACCTTCAACCCTGAACCGCCTAGCATCCTCAAAACGCATAGGTACCTACATAAACTATCGTTTATGCCCAATGCCCAAATGGAAGAGACTGTGATGCCAAATTGTGTATACCGGTACCTATATTGTAGCAAGGGACACTTCGATCAATCTCTCCGCTGCTCCTTTTGACTGTGCCGGAGAGCAGATGCTGAATCCTGTGTTATGTCCGTGCTGTATCCGCAACGTTACAGGGTAGCACTCCTTCTTCGACTTCGCAGGGCCCCGGATCGGCGGGTAAGCAAAGCCAAGGTTGGTCCGACCTTTCGGGGACTGGAGAACGCCTGGTCCGAAGGATACCTCGAACAACGACAAGTACGAGGTATCCTCACAGCTTACTGCCTTCAGTTTACAGTTTAACGTTCCCTCGTGGAAGAGTTGTTGCGGGTGGCGTCCTTCCGTGAAGTACTATACAATACACTTACATAGCGGTAAATGCAGCTGTGTCGCTGCTGTCGCACCAAAAAGGCAGAGCGTCTTGGCGTCGCGACGAATCTGGCACTTAACATCACCCGTGGCCGCGTCATGCCCTGTGAAGTCTCAAGTTCCATGATACGTATCCAGATCCGTATCCAGACACGATGCGGCATCTACTCCGTGTGCTCGTTGGCCTGGCCTGCCTCGAGGCCGCATTCTCCGTAGAGATTGTCCCCGGACACGCATTTGACCGCTTCATGACCATCTGGCTCGAGAACCAGGTAATTAGACCCATGTACTGTGTGTGGTATTTAGATGCACACTCTCTGATGGCACATCCAGGACTACGCCAAAGCCGCCGTCGATGCCAGGATAGCCGATCTGAGGAGACAGGGCATCTTGCTCACCAGATACTACGCCCACACCCATCCCAGCCAGCCAAACTACGTCGCTGCCGTAGCCGGTGACTATTTCGGCCTCAACCACGATGACTTTGTGCGCATCCCCGAGAACGTCTCCACCGTCGTCGACCTGCTGGAGTGGAAGAACATCACTTGGGCCGGCTACTTTGAAGACGTCCCCGGTCCAGGCTACATGGGAAATGCCAGCGACGGCTCGACAGGCAATGGCGGCTGGGACTACGTGAGGAAACACAAGTGAGCCTTATTAGCCCTGGCTACCCTCGATTGCTCCCTGACGGGGAAATGGGAAAGCGTTGGTTGATTTCCCCGCTGACCGCCCCCCAACAGCCCCTTTGTGTCCTTTGACAGCATCACCAACTACGGGGAGCGGCTGCTCAACCTCGAGTCGTTTGGCGCGTTTCAACGGGCGTTTTCCGCCAAGCAGGTGCCGCAGTTTGTCTTCATGTCGCCCAACATGATGAATGACGGCCACAACACGAGCATGGAGTTTGCCGCCGAATGGTCGCACAAGTTCCTCCAGCCTCTGCTAGAAGACGGCGCCTTTGGCAATGCCGAGCGGACGCTGGTCATGCTCACCTTTGACGAATCCGAGACGTGCAGCGAGCCCAACCACATTCTGACTCTCCTGCTGGGCAGCGCCATTCCGCAAGCCCTCAAGGGGACGCAGGACGACACGCTCTACACTCACTACAGCATCCTGTCCACTCTGGAAGCCAACTGGGGCCTCCCGAATCTCGGGAGGTACGACGTCGGCGCGAACGTGTTCCGGTTCGTGGCCGACGCGGCGGGCTACACGGGGAACAGAGACCCGGACAACGCGGCGAGCGTGAACAACTCGGTGTCGTACCCTGGCCTGCTGCACGACGATCCCTCCCTGAGACTGCCCATCCCAGCCCCGAATACGCTGCTTGTCGGGGCGGGTGGTCTTCCGGTCCTGGACTCCATCAAGAAGACGTGGTCGGATACCGCCAAAGCTCCGACTCCCTACGACGGCAGCGGCAGGGTGTTTGACGGGGATAGGAACCCGCCGGCTTACAACCCCCCGGCCGCCGACCCATCATAGCTTTTCTACCTACCTTTATGAAATAATAGTGTGGTCATTGTTTTCTCACCACAAAAAGGGGCAGCCTCACTTTCCCTGGCACAACCACGTTCTGTGCCACCGGGCTCTCCTGCCGTGCGTGACGTGTTGCAGTATCCCAAGGTACGCTAATCTCTCTGATCACTTGGAATGGAAGTTGCAGCTCTTTGACAGCGCAGCTCGCAGCTCGCAGCTCGCAGCTCGAGGCAGGATCTGTCGGTGTATACCTATGCCGGTCCGGGTTCCGCAACTCACACCATTACGAGCTCGGCGGTGCATAATTTTTCACGGAGCCTTCCGGATTTTGTTTATTGTTGACAAGCTTTGTGAGAGAATTTAGACTTTCGCTTCTCGCCGTTACGCTCGTTGCTGCTGCATGCAAAGAAAGGCATTGTGCAGGACGTGACAATGGCTATCCTCAAGTTCTGCTGCTGCGCTTCCTCGCGCTCCGTCAGGACACCGTCATTGCCGGAATCAAACCCCCAGGATGCATCGTCTCGACGACAGCCTCCTCCTCGCGCGCCCGGGCCGCTGAGCATGAATCCGGTAGGGTCGGTCGCTGCTGCTGGAACGCGTCACAATCCGCCCCAAGCCCCGTTGCAGCCGTCCATCAGGCTCGTCACTGCCCAAAATCATGATGAGCCGGTCCAGTCGAGACGGCTGTCCGCTGAAAAGACACAGAATGATGAAGAAATCGATGCTGGTGCGCAAAGCAGAGGCTCTGACAAGCTACAGCGCGTCAAAAATCGATCTCCCGGCGAGTTCTCTCAAGAGCTTACGCCTCGTCGAAAAGCAATTTCTGCTGTGGAAAGCAGTCAGGTTGAGACTGATAGGCAACCCGAGTTGAAGAGGCTCTTGAAGAATTACCATGGAGAGCTTGACGATGAGGGACTCAAGGCTTCGTCAAAAGGCCCATCGACTGGTCCTCGTCAGCCGCCCAGCTCTCTTGCTGTTCAACGTTTCCCTGGCGGCGGTTCTCATGACAGTTCAGAGTTTTCCGTTGGTGAAAGTACCAAGCCTGATAGGACGCTCGTGAGCGATCCAAGACTACATAAGGCACACCCAGAGCCTAAGTCAACGTCAGCCAGCAATCTATCAGATACAGCATACCGAGCATCTCCCAAGCATGGGCACAAGTCCGAAAACCAAAAGAACGCCCGGGAGCTAACATGCATCATTGACGCACCATCCTCAGATGACCCAGGTTGCACACCTGATAAGTTGATAACATCTTGGCGGCTCGCCTGCAGCACCGAGCGCCTGAAAGACACGCTCAGCTATGCCAAAGAAGTCGACGGCCGCAGAGATGAAGATGCTGCTAGAGACCCAACCACTCGGCTCCTGCCAGAGAACTCAACCATCGCCTCGGTCGGACTTGCAGCCGCAATCACTCGATTCCAGTCTCCGGGCATTACATCTGGCGAGCAGTCTCCATATAGTATCTGGCTTCGGGCTCAAGAACTCCGACCTCAGGGTCCTTCCACCACAAGAACATTGGACTCGGATGACGCTGAGTTTCTTGAGGATGCCGTTGTCCAAGAAGCCGAAGTCGTTTACATAAGAAAGTGCAGTATGCCTCGCAACATTTCAGCGCCCGAAGTTGATGGCCGGAATGTCCCAGTCGTCCATGTACAGCATGTAGGCATTCGCCGTCAGCTGGGTACGGACAGTTCTCTGCAGAGGGCTGAGCACTGTAAAAGTGCGAGCGAAGTCGAGCTCGACACAAAGCAGCGCGCCGGCGGCTCTGTCACTCGCAAACCAGTCGCTGCCGGTGTGAGAGCTGTAGCTACTCCTGAGCAAATGCCACCAGGCTCGCGTATGGATACTTCATCTGCGTACTTTTCGACGGCAGCGAGTGAGTATCCGGCCTCGGACGTCTCGGGTGTCCGCCGCGGCTCTGTTGTCAACAAGGAACCGCCATCCACCTTGTTTCTACCTTCTGATGGCGGCTTTAAATGTAAGCTGAGCTCCAGATCTCCCGTCCTAGCCATTGCTAACCTTTCTTCAGGGCCTCGGGATTCACAACCCTATTCCATCGCCGGAGGATCAGAGCCCAACTTGCGAGATGCTCTTGGCCGGTATCCCGTCAACAAGCCCGCCGCTGCGGACACCCGTGCTGGAACCCCATGGCCCTCCTTCCACCACCCGATGCCAGGCATTCCCAATAAGCCACATGACAAGTCGCACCCGGACACAGTTGAGAAAAGCATCGGCTACTTCCACCTGCAGCATGGCACTCCCACGCTTGTCGTGCACGATTTCTCCAAGGGACTCAATCCCCGCCCTCCGCGGCCTGTTTCAGGCAAGCCCTCCGTGCTCGAGAGACTGCGCCTTTCCTTTCCTCAAAGGATCAGGTCGCCACCACCACCGACCGGTCTGGACAGCGACGGCGACGGCACTGCCTTGGAAGCGGAATCGGAAGTGTCACTGCCAGGCAGTACTATCAGTGCTGCTTCATACAGGAACAAACTGAGACGTGCTCGCCGCCTGGCAAGAGAAGAGAAAAGCCCTCCGCCGGCCTGGCCCCTTGGCGCGCCGTCACAGATTGTTGACAAGGCGGGTGGGGTTGAGTTTCGAGGGCGGGTTTCGGAAAGGCAGATTCGTGATGGGGATCTTGGTGATTATGGCCAGTCGAGCTCGTGTGGCACGCTGGGAACAACGGACTGCGGAGGTGGTAAAAGTACAACAACGACAGGTCAAGCCCACAGCACCCGCTCGGGGGTTTACAACAACAACGAGAGCTACAGCGGTCAAAGTCAAAGTCAAACCCCTTCCCAGCGGTCCTCGGGTCTGACTTCATCCCTGCCTCGCCCGCGCCCCCGGCAGTCGGGCTATCCGCCGTCCTCGGTCCGTGATGGAACAACTGAGCAGCAGCACAAGAACTGGAAGCGAGTTGTTGGGGTTCAAGTTGGATCTCCCCGCAAGAGTTCGGCTACCGGTGCCAGTACCCAGCCGACGACTAATCCCACTACTACTACTATGGCTGCACCTGCACCTGGAGCTGGAGTCGGAACGGTTGCACCTAGCCAGGGTGGCGGACGCGAGTCCGGAGACAATAATTCGAAGCAGAAACGGCTCCCGCGTGCGCGTGCCTACGATTTGAAGCAGAAGCAGGTTAGCGGTAGCCCAGCTAAGGCCAAGGCCAAGGGTTTCGAAGATGAAGATGCAAAGCTCCAACAGGAGTAGAACCAGCTCCTCTTCTGTCTTCTGTTTCTTGCGTCTTTTTCTCTCAAGATGACGTCTTCTCGCGTTTCTTCAACCCACCACCTTGATTCCGCTACTACTCACTGCACCTGTACCTGCATCTGGGGCTGCACCTGGAGATGGAACGGTTGCAGCTGGCAAGCTTGACGGACCTCCTCCTGCATCTAGAGACAAACAACTTGAAACAGCAACGGCTCCCCGCGTGCGCGTGCGCGTGCCTGTGCCTATAACTCAAAGCAGGTTCAAAGCCCTGCCAAGGGTTTCAAACCTGAAGATGCAAAGTTCCAACAGGAGTAAAGGCAGCTCCTCTTCTGTCTTCTGTCTTTTTTCTTCTTTCTGTCAGGACTACTACATCTTCTCGCGTTTCTTCACTTTCCAACTTTCCCAGCAGTTAATGATCATGACGATGATAAATATGCCGCAGCCAAAGCCGACATGTCGCCACAAATAATTATCACAGGGTGGAATCGATCAAAACTCCAGACGGGGGTTATCGCAGCACCCCTGCTGAGCTAGTCGATGGCGTGTCGGCGGCGTCGGCAGCAGCTATGCTTTTGTTTGCTTTGTTTTCACACTTTCACTTTCACACGCGGGGCAGTCAGTCCTCGCATCCTCGCATTCGGATTCCGTGCGAGTCTTCCCTCTTTAAACTGTCTATCTAAGTGCTCTTCCGATGGGGCTGGGAGCGATGTACGGTACATACGATACAATCATGGAGGTGCGTGGGACAGGCAGGGATGGAGTTCGGTATGATTGGACCGGTATGGCTGGACTGGTATGGATGGGCGTTGTGAGCTGCATGACTTGTGGGAGTCTACGGATGTTGTGTTTGGTTGGCTGGTTGTTGTAGGTTTAGTCGACTCCGCTACGTAGGCAGAGTTTTGTTTGGGATGTCTTGTGTGGATAGGGGGTTGGTTTGTCGGTTGTCAGGTTTCAGGGGCTACTACTTGCTCTGCATGTCTGGTGTTTTTGTTGCATGTATGGATGTTTGGTGTATGGGTTTGTATCGTCCGGTGCTGATAGATCTGAAGCAGATTCTCTCTCGCCTTTTCTGACCGATCTCTGGCGGGAGAGAGATGAGCATCGCGATGTAGGTAGCCTTTTCACAGTCAATCGAAAGGAGGTCAAGCTTCCCACGATAACCGTACAGGCGCGGACCCAGAAAGGCGTATATACATCCAGGCAACTAAACAACTCAACTGTCACACAGGCATGGTATCATCAATTTTGTACAGTACAGTACGGTACACGCAACCCGGCCACCCAACTAATGCGCCATCTGCTTCCCAATCTCGCTCTCCCACCCCTTGGCCCTCTCAAACCCATTTGAATGGCTCTGGTAGTCCATAAATGCCTGGTACACCTCCTCCTGGGACGTCAGCACGAACGGGCCGTACTGCACCACCTTCTGATCAAGCGGCGTGCCGGCCACTAGCACAAACCTTGCCCCCTTTTCCGCCTTCTCATCCACCCGGGCATACACCACATCCCCCTCACTCCCAAAAACCACATTATGAAACTCCTTGACCATCCTCTCCCCTTCACCAGCACCCTCCTTCCCAAAAACCACCTCCCCCTCCAGAATATACACAAACGCATTCCACCCCTTCGGCACAGGCTGCTCGATCCTGCCACCCGGCTTAACCTCCACATCCAACAACCAAACAGGGGTATACGCCAAGTCCTTGACCGACTCAACCCCCTGACTCTGTCCACTGATAACCTTAACCCTCACCCGTCCCTCATCAGCAGTTGCCTCAGGGATTTCATTCGCGCGCAGATCCCGGTAGCGCGGTTCGCAGAGTTTCAGCTGCTTCGGCAGATCAACCCACAGCTGCAACCCTTCAACAACCTCCGGATCCCCCCCGCGAGCGGGGTCCGAATCATGAATCGGCATCTCGGCGTGCACAATCCCCCGGCCGGCGGTCATGAATTGCAGATCGCCGGGTAAAAGCAGGCCGCGGTTGCCGGCAAAATCCTCGTGTGCGATGGCGCCCCGCAGGAGGTAGGTTATTGTCTCCTGGCCGCGGTCTGTCGTAATATTACTTAGTTAGTCAGCTGTTCAGAGGTAGAAGGGAGGGTTGGAGGTTAGGGGGATTGCATACGGGGATGATCGGGAAACCCGGCGCCGGGGGAGACGGAGAAATGGTCGAGCATGAGAAAGGGGGAGAAGTTTCTCAGGTTGGATGTGCCGATGGAGCGGCGGACGAGGGCACCCGCGCCTTCGGATTGCTGGAGGGCGAGGAAGGCTTGGCGGATTGCGCGCGGGGCGGACATGGTGGTGTTTTCTCTGGGGTTGGTGCTTATTTCAGGGCCAGATGGCGATGATGTGTTGAAAAGGTGTGAGCTGAAATCGGCTGTGAAAGCGGTAATTTCTTGTCTGAAGATGAGGATGAGGATTGAGCAGATTCCTACGACAATGGAGAGGACGGCGGATGATGAAAAGGTCCTCATCGAGTCGAGGAAGCTGATTGAGGTATAAATATGTGTAAATCACAAAGGATGAATCTCGAGGTGAGGTATGGATGAGTGATGGATTTGTATGAGATTATTGCATCTCCAGAGAAGGGTCCAGCGACTGAAGGAACAATTAGTGATTGCAGTTGTGGCCACCAGCCCACCTTACGAAACCACCACACAGCGTCTTTGTAAGCTGTGACATATCCTACAGGTGGTTCTCCAAACCACTTTTTTTTTTGGGAAATAAACGGGTCGTATCTCTAGCGACTCCATTGTAGTCTGGTACCGTACCCAAATTCCCAACATTATTTGGACAGCGGGTACGTAGCTTCACCCCATCAACCTACCAGCTGCGTGGTGCTGCGCCCGGCGAGTAGACGGGACACCATGGAATCCGAAGCCAAAGGCAGCGTGAACAATCCAAAGCCGTCCCCCGCCGCTACCGCTGCCGCTGCCGCTGCCGCTGACGATCCGCCTGTCCCACCCCGAGCCCCAAAAATCTCAGTGGACCCCTCACTGCGCACTCTAACAGTGGGACCCAACGGAGTGCCCAACGACGACGACGCTGCCATCGAAGCTCCAGTCCCAGACGTCCAGGCCACAACAGAGGAATGCTTCAAAGACTTTGACACGAATAGCATCACCCATGTTGTCATCCAGTGCGTCTTGATTACCAAACCCCCATAACAATCTCACGTTTGGGATCTAAGGACGTACTAAGTAACAATTGGCAGAGTATCAATCTCAAAACAACAACAAATCTTCCACCAAATAGGCTACCAATACACCTGGAATTTCCCCTTCCCTTTCTGGCATTTCCTCGGGAAGATGGTTGTCAAAGCCCTATACAATGATCAGCGAGACAACACAGAGCTTCAGATACTCAGTTTCACTGCGATAAAGAATCACGAGTTCGTCGCCTTCACAACATCCGCATGGAGGGCTGCCAACACAGCAAGGAAAGCAGCTGGGGTTACCGAGCTACCGCCGCTCAACGTGATAGAGGTCAGTTTCATGAAACCACAGCCGGGGCAACGCTTGCAGATATCGTGGCAACCAGCTAGGGGGGTGTTCACTGGCAGAGTTAGGCTATGTAAGTTTCGAAAGATAGAATGCATTGTAGGGCGATGCTGAACAAACACGATAATGATACAGGGACCGAACTTGAAGAGAGGAGGAAACAATCAACCACAGTAACATCATAAAGGAACCATCTTGTGGTCATCTGTAACGGAATAGTGATCTTGCACGTAGAAGACGAAGGTTCTGGTAGGATTGCCACTAC